TTTGCAGTGAGTCCGATGTATGTGTCTGTCGTGCTTTTGTATTTACGCGTAATAGTAGCTTGGTATATAACAAATTGTTGGGCAGTTGCATTTCTCATGGTTGTTTGCGGTAGCGGCGTCGGTTGTGGCGGTGGCGTTAGACTTTACGTGTGAGGTCAGGATTCTTTTGTTGTGGTTGTCGATGATTTGTTTTGTATTGTCCATGCAGCTGTAACTAATCTTGATTGTGTTTCTGTTGAAGATTCTACGGAGCTTATGGTCTTTGGGGAAGTGTTTGTCAATCAATGCGAGGAATTTATGTCCGATGTAATGCTGGTGTTCTTGGTGAAAGGTGGGTTGTACCAGACGATGTTGTTGCGTTTTCAGTTCTTGCGTCTTTGTGTGTGCGTTGGTTGCTTGGTCGAGGGAGGTTTTGTCGGATGAGAGGGATTGATAAGCGTCTGTTGATGCCAGCGGGAAGGATTTTTTTTAGAAACCTTAAAGAAGTGTTGGCGCCATCCCGCTACGACCCTAACATCGAGTACGAAGGGGCTGCTGAGGTTAAGGGATGTTTTAAATGTAACAGAACAAGATGCGATTTTTGTCGCAACTTCTTGGCTGAATCTAATTCCTTTTTAAGTTTTCAAACAGGCAACAGTTACAAGATACGATCGAAACTTTCCTGTGATTCTAAGAAAATCGTTTTTGTCGGTTCGTGCAAGAAATGTCGCCTACAATACGTTAGTTCCACAACAAATGACTTTAGTGTTAGATTTCGCAACCATAAGCCTGCTATGGTCACTAAGAAAAACACCTGTAACGTATAAATCAAGTTTCATCATCTGAGGTAGGCTTAAGACAGAATACAAGATTCCTTAGAAATAACCCACCCATCCCACCCCAGGGGAGGACATCCATCACACAGTAATCTCGTGCGTGGGAAATTAACGTTCCCTACCCTTAACCCTGCAGGAGACTGGACCACCATTTATTCGTCTCTATTTGAGAAGACTAGAATATCTAACCGTTTCTTGATGTCATAGAAAGGTAGCATTTCTTCTTAATTATTTTAAGACCTTGAGTGTTGGTCCGGCCGGAGCTCGAACCCTTGACCTCCCGCAGAACAGTCCAGTGCTCTATCCATTTAGCGGAGGCGGTTGAGTAGCAGTAGTGGTACATATTAAGTAGGTAAGTAGCGGTACATTTTAACAAAACACCACATCATTAAAGCGATTTCTCGTTCCAATGCATCGATCAAGTGCAGGCAACCGTAAACAATTTAGGTAACATCGAGAAACTTTTAATTACCAAAGAAGCACATTGGAGCGCACAGTTGTTCTCTCTGGCACCCTTCGGTATGAATAAGCGCCAGGCATTTCACTCCAAAAAAAAGAATAAACTATGATTAATGCGGTGAATTTTTTCAAATTGGGCGGGCATCAAAGGTCCCGGTCTCAGCTTTGATTGGGAATTTTGGTACAATTCTCACCTTTATTCAAAGCTGGTTCCTTAACACTTTCAGTGGATTCGACAATTTTTAAATTTTATGTTTGTTTTTCCCCATAGATTGTGATAATTTTTCGCGTAGTAATTACTGTTTTTGTTAATATGTGTCATCACGCCCTCTTTGTAAATCTATTTAAGAAGTTTGTAAGTTATTGTATTACAACCGATGAAGGTCTCGGACCGAAACGTTTTTCATTAAACGTTTTAGATTTTTTATTGAGTATATGTCTTCCTTTGCTCGAAGTTGTCCGTCCTCGTGTGCCACAGTACTTCATCTATTATTTATCGAGGTTTGGACTGCGAATCCTTTTGGATCCTTATGGCGCGGCGTCTCTGTTGGCTCGAATCCTGTCAACTTGTCAGATGTCTATATTATATTATTTAGACTTGCTTGGCGTTTCTCTTTTTAAAAGCAGTCTTAAAGAAAAAGAAACAAAATTCTGGGTATAATTTGGAAATAAATCGGGCAATGCAATTACCATGATATGCTACTTTTATTAGCACAATCTATAGGTGGTTTGTAACCAAACTCCAGAGACACAGGTAACAATAGTGAAAGGAACAAATGCTGGTGGAAGAACAAAAGGAGCTAGTGAGATATCTATTGTTTACATCCACTAACATGGCGGCAATGACGTCACGTGCAAATCACCCATAAGGCCTACCTCAGTGTATGAGGATGACAACAATGGTGCATTAAATTTTCGCGACTAGGAAACATTGGTCGACATTAAAGAGAAGTCATACTGAACGATATTTTCATTAAAGTTTTGTCTGTTATCTAAAATCTCCAAAGCATTCAAAATAGAACAAACAAATTGGACGCTTTGAACGTGTAGTTAAGATCTATTTCGGGATTTTTATTTTATTTTTTGTCGTGTTCACCAAGGACTGCGAAGTATTTTGCCAAAGCATCTCTCAAAATTAGTAATCACATTGTGGCGTGCCAGCGTTATAATAAAACTTAGAGAAAACTTGAGCGATTTCCCTCGGGGAGTATTTTGATCCATCCTCCTTTCTTGGCACATGCGCAAGACTGACGAATCATGTAGCTCTCCCTCGCGAATAAACCTGTTGTGTCAATTCTCCTTAGTTTCTCAACGCACTTTTAAGCGGAAAAGTGATGAGAATTTCAAAAATGATCACATGGATTTCCAATACTAATAGATTGGTAATAAAGCGACTCGAAGTATCGCTAGGGATAAGCGACTTCTCAAGTAGTTTAAAGGAGCACTCTGATGAAACCGCCCTATAATTTGAAAACCCGAAAAATTTGATTATTTTATTATAATATAAATTGTTAGTCAATAATAAAGCCTTTTCAATAATTATTCATCCCGCCATCGGTTGTTTTACGACCATGATGCAACGCAATCAGAGTGCCTGTATATGACATCTTACACTGAGTCGCAGAACAATATTGTTATTCAAAAAAGCTGAACAGGTAAACTGTAAACAGTCCATACCCGTCAAAGCTGAGGAAACTGAAGCCCAAAAGGTAGCACTCCTATCGTTTCAGACGCGAGTTAAGGAATTTAGGGAATTTAGTGATCATCACTTGCCTAAGTTGAGAGTTCTGCGGTGTTTAAGGAACAAATAAAGGATAGAATTCATAATTTTACCTGTTGACGAAGCTTTGGTTTTCCTTCCTTGGCCAACAACGATCTCTCTTGAGGTCTTTGAATAGTAACTACTATATATAGATAACAACCCTTACTGTCATCGCATCTGTTCACCAGAGAATTGACTCCAATATTAATGACATTTATCGCGCAAAAAAGAAATACATCAAACATTTAGCCGCAAATCAATATTGACATCCAAAAAGGCGGAACAACTAAACGGGAAGCAGTAGCCCATAGCCGTCAAAGCTGAAGAACATAAGCCAGTAATGATAACACCTCTCATTTCGCACACGTGAATTTGCTGAGCATGACTGATCCAGGTTACTTGTTAACAGAAGTATTTATTATTAACGCAACCAGTCACCTTGGACCCATAACAACGCAATCGTCTCACAAATTTGAGTAAGTAGTTAAACAAAGGCAAGAATCAACAACCCGAGCGCTTTGACATTTGTCACAAATGTCAAATTTGATCTTACTCGGCCGACTGCGTTACGTTTTCATAAACGGATACAAGCTAACTACAAGTGAAGTATCTCCAAACACAATGTGGTTTAAAATTTGTGATCATAAGCTGTTGGTGCATTTCCGGCTAAAGAAGAGGAAACGTTGGAATTTTGTGTATGAGGGGTTGTCTCGCCTACATCTTAGGCACAAAAGAATTCAGCGACTTTACGTTCAGCCTTGCACGGAAATTAAGTTAAAACAAAATGCAAATTTGAATGCTGTACGCTGACTTCCGGCTCCAGCCTCTGGTTTTGCAAGTAACTTACTCTGCGGTTTGTTTCTTGGTAAGAACAAACACGAATGAAAAAACTGGACAATGCTGCTTCCTGCAAAGTCAATTAAAATATTATAAGGGAGCGCTGAATTAGATGTTTTTCATCTCTTTGAGTGCGTTTGTCGCGCCAAAGACAGATATGAATGACAAAAGAGACAGATATGAATACGGTATATTAGTCTTCTGACAAGGTCAGCAGGCCAGAGGGGATCATTTTTCGTAATTTGCCCCCCGCTTGTTTGTGTTGTGTTGTGCCGCTAAAGCATGTCGTGGCAGACAGTCAATGTTACTCGCTTGGTTTGTCTTTCGTTGCAGTCTTCTTATCTTCTTAGCTTCTTAGCTCAAGCTCTCATACTGAACTGAAATCATGGTAACTTTTCAGAGAGCGAAACCAAATAGGAAAACTCGTGTGTGTGTGTGTGTGCCCCAAAGACAGATATCCTGGAATGACAAAAGAGACAGATATGAATACGCTATATCACAGGCGGCCCAAGCTCTCTTTGAGAACCATACAAGGAACACAATTTGCATATCGATTTACAAGGATTTGTATGGGATTTTCTACAAGATATCCATAGAGATAGTTAAAAGTGAAAATATTAAATAAAAATAGCTTACCTTATTCGATACGTGTGTTGCTTGCTCCTGGTTTCACTTGATTTAAGCGGTCTTTTTTTAATCCTGGTTTTCTCTTATTAAAGAGAAGACTAGGTCGAACACTTCTGTCCAGACAGCCTCCCGAACGAAGTAAAAAATCCCGAGCTAAAATGTACCCACGGCCACAAATCCACCGCAGATTTCAAGTGCAAAGGTTAACCTTTCATTTCGATTGTCTAGCCACAAAATCTCAGCCCTGCGATCGACGACAGGCGGCTCTTCTTGTCCTTAGTGAAACGTTAAAACGTTTGTAGACATCCGAGTCCTTTTTGAACACGACACAACGACTATTGAAATTGGCTTGGTAACCTCGTCATGTAGAGAAACCAAGACTCGCGGGGGTACTAGACCTGAGGGGACCACGGGTTTTACAAGAAGTTTTGTTGAGAAGTTGAGGTCTAGTAACCCCGCGAGTAATTTGAGCCCCGTTTGTGTTGTGTTGTGTTGTGTCGTGTCACTAAAGCATGTCGTGGCAGGAAGTCAATGATACTCGCTTGGTTTGTCTTTCGCTACAGTCTTCTTAGCTCAAGCTCTCATGCTGAACTGAAATCATGGTAACTTTTCAGAGAGGGAAACCAAATAGGAAAACTCCCTGTTAGTCGGAAGACAGTAGTCAATCAGAAGGTATTTTAATTCGTGAGTGATTTTCATTCAAGCATGCGAGTAAGATTACTCGACTACTTTGTTACATACGACAAATTAATTTACTTGAAAAATTCTATCGAGCGTTGCTCCCATTTTAGAAGGCTGTCAGCTCCAAAGCCGCCTAAAGCTTCGTACGTTTTGACGATGCACATTTGCATTTTTTTTTTAATCACAACGACGGGCTTGACCTGGTTTAAATGAAACTTCATGTCACGGTGGGCGAGGTATGTAAAATACTTCAGCGCTTAGGGTATTGTTTTTGAGAGATTTGGTAAGCAGTAGACCCTTAACATAGTGCATAGTCCTGTGGGGTGCCATCAGTCTCGAAACTGGATTCAGGAATGGCCCCAAAGAACAGCCTTGTTTTCCCAACTGAGTTAGACTCATCTGAAGCGGGTGACTGTATTTAATGCATATTTCTGTTCTACCTACAAAACAAATATCCGCCACGATAGGAGACGATCTGTTCTCATACAACAAGAAAGTATGTCTCAAATTGAATATATAAGACAGGCAAACCACGCAGCGTGTTCTTGCTTAGATTTGATATTCAACAAATTTGCATTTTACGTGCAGAAAACATTATTTAAAGCGACATCTGCACATCATTTACAATTTTCTGCACTATTGAACGCCATCGTACCAATAGGGATCGAGGGTCGTCAATAAGATTAGTTATTTATTTGTAAAGATATCAATGCTCTGGGAAAGAAAAACATCTAGCTATACTGGAGAGGAAAGGTAGGAGTCGCTAGAAATAATTATCTTTATGGAGAATGAAGATTCTTTCAAGTTAATAGTCGAATTCAACTGATTCAGGATAATAAATGGCGATTTGGTACCATGTAATGGTTCGACTCTGACTCATATTAACTCATGTCTTTCTCCATGCCGAGTTTACTGATGATCTAATTAGCTGATACGATGAATAGCTCTCTTCAATTTTGTCCAGAAATTTTAAAATTATCATCCCTTCTTTGGAAAAGCTGTTTACTGTACGTTAGGTGAATTGATTTTCCTTTTTATCCTTACACCTTTTATATTAAATGAAAGTCCTTACCATGAGATTACGCTCGAAACGTCAGCATTGTTTTTTTATTTAACTCTTGACGGTGGCCAGCTTACATCTCAACTCAGTTGATAAAACTAAATGTTCCTATGCATATTCTGCAACAGTCTGTATATTCAATAACCTTGTGTTAAATTACAGTATGGAAAGGGCTTGTGTCTTCGCAGTTACCATTCTCACCATTTTGAACACTATGATGGCTTGTTGCGGTGAGTAGAAAAAGTGTACTTTCTTTAGTCTTGCATAGCTCTGCCCCGCTTTTAAACTTGCAAGTTCTTCAGAAATGAAAAGCATTCAAAGATTGTCGGCTATTTTGTGTCGTTCCAGTGATAAACACATCGCCCCAGGGATAAACACATCGCCTAGAGTTCAGCGGCACATCCGGGTCCTTTTGTGTAGCCAACCGCGCTAAATTTGAAATCTCGTCAGCGAGAACATGCCAAACAATAAAGAAAATGGCCTGAAATTGTCGACCAAAGCTTACCATATTTTATATTTTGACAAAACTGCGTAACATTCATTAGTTTTAGCATATGGCTTTTACAGAAAAGGTATTAATAAACTGAACTGCGTACTTTCGAGGTTTTCTATCATGTTATTATATCCTGGTAAAACAATTAATGTCTTTCCTTTTCTGTTTCTTGTTTTTTTTTTTGTTGGATAATCAGAGGGTAACTTTACCCAAGTGGATTCTAATTCAAGGTTGGTACGCTTGAGAGGCTTAGCAACAAGTTGCTCGGCAACTTTTTGGCAACTTTTGAGATTTTCGGCAACTTTTTAGAATTTTGGCAACTTTTAGAATTTTCGGCAACTTTGGGCTTTTTAAGGTTCTTTGAAGCCACTTTCTTCACGTTTTGAGCAACATTGGTCAGTTTTCGATAGACATTTACCCAATTTATTCTAAAATACAATAATGGGTACAACCCTCATGGGTTGATTTTTGTGATGCTTTATCACAAGGTCAGCGGTATCACGTTGCATGTTTTTCAAGATGGTGGACAATTACAGTGACAATTTGTTGATCAAGTGAAATGGAAAGAACCTCTGATATTAGCATTGAACTTTGACAAAGAAAGTTTTGATAAGAAGCAATGTGCGAATTTTTAATCTTTAACACCCATGAAAGTACGAAAAGCAGAAAGATTTTGGGAACTTTTCGGCAACTTTTTGGAAATTCAGCAACTTTTTGGCAACTTTTTAAACAAAATAGCAACTTTTTGGCAACTTTTAGACACTTTTATCGGAAAATTTCTGGGATTTATCGGCAACTTGTGGCTAGGCATAACGCTTGACATTTCACACACGTGCGGATCTTAGATATATATCTATTAAGATTTCAATAATCAATTTCTAGATATACTCTTTCATTTTACTATTCTCTTTCTTTTACCCTGGTTTCTTTTTTTACAGCTGCGTGCAGGCATTTCCTCCAGTTGACGGTTCTGTGAGAGAAGCTTATTGCATATTTTACGAGTATAAAGGCGAATTATGTAAAAACATAACTACAAGTCGATACCTTTATGGCGACCAATCCACGCTGGATTATAGTGAAAAGGAAACTAGCAACGCGAACAGTTTTTTCGAATTGATCCCTCCGGTGTGCAGGTCCACATTAAGAGAATTGTACTGCCGCTATCAATTCCCACAGTGCGATGAATCACTGGGGCAGCCTAAAAAACGTCGGATTTGTCGCAGCTCATGCGAATATTTGGACCAAAAGGTTTGTAAAAGAGAAATGGATCTAATCAGGGATGCATCGGTATTTGACGAGGACATGACCAATTGCTCAAGCTCTAAGTATGTTGATGCAAATGGTGGCGATGCTCCTGAGTGCTATCAATGGCGTGATCTTCCTGGTAGGTGTAACACCGTCATTAAAATTATTGCATAAAGTTGCCCTCGTTATCTGCTCATGTTCCTTTGAGAGTTACTGACTTTTTCGGCTTAAAGAGGATCATCACGCTGCCGGAGTGGAGCTGGTGTATAATTTGATACCAGCGATTCATTAAGGAAATTTAATGAAACGCAGAGAGAGGAGGGGGATAGATTACCTGCGATGGATAAGTATCCCATCCTTGTGTAGTAAAAATACTTAATTTCACGAAACGTAGGAACGTTAACACTCTGGCAGTTTATGAACCAGTTGGCTTGTGTGGAAACACAAAAATACTCACCAAACTACACACGCACAAACAGCTATATACACAATGAGACGCTAGGAAATAGCCGTAATATTTTGGTTTATCATATTAATCAGACAATTTTATACTTTTTCTTTACCTTTCTAACCTCTGCTGCTCTCACTTTTCTCATCTCCCGTAGGTGATGACACTGAGAGTACAGGTCTGTTATTAATGTTCTGAATTGTAATTTTCAATATCTCTATTGGAATGTTGCCTAATGCGTCCGTAGTGCTTTGTACAAAATATTGCGTCTCAATAAAATAAGTAGGTATAAATTTCAATTTATACACGAAGCGATGACAGAAAATTGACAGAAATCTTGTTCAAACTTCTCGTCACCCTATTTACAATCAGTTCACGGACTAATGCCACTCTCCTTACGTGCCAGGTACTTTTACTATCATGAAAACAGGGAGCTATAAGTCACATTTAGCTTTTAATTTCTAAAGAGCTACAAAACTATAACTACATAGAGCTATCGTCGACGCACAGAATTATCTTAAGACAAAACTTGATTGATTAAACTTAAAGTAAGAAACCCACCAGTGATTAACTTTCATCTTGGCGTTTTGGATAACTGGTCCCTGCTTGGGTTGCAAGCTCAGGTACCTAATGTCCTTAACATCAAACCCCAAAATTAACAAGAACCGAATTGTAAAGTAAAGTAGTGGATGGCCTGAACCCTGAAAGATCACTTCTACTCAAAAAGTACCCACTTGAGGAAAATCGCCACTAAAAAAAAGGTGATCGCATGAACAGCAAAATGCTTAACACCCTTAAACGAAATGAACTATTTTCGAGTTGAATGACCTTTAAGAGGCTACAGTTGAGTCTATTAAGAATCATGCTAACAGTAACTCTAACCGTCTCTGGGAGTAGGCATTTATAGATTATGCTAGTAAAAGTGGCATATTATGCTAGTAGCATTGCTTTTTTTTTGGCCAAATTATGCTAAAATTATGCTCTTTTTTCCAAATTATGCCACCGTTTTTTTAAATTATGCTCTTTGAAAAAATGCAAATAAGTCCAAAATATATATTTTTTAACTAGAAGCCGTTCGTCTACAGGAAAGAAACGCAACAAATCCACAATGAATTTCAAATAAACATGTGGTTCAGGTTAGACCCGGGCTCAGTGCTTCACAGTGAACTACAAATGCTACTAGTTTAACTAAAACTTTAAATATCGATTAAGGTCACCAAGTGCTTGGGACTAGAGACAAAAAATTATCAAATAATGGCATCAAAAATGATCTTATAATTATCAAAATGCGCAAATTTTGCTAGCATTGCTACTTGGCAGATATTATGCCAGTTTCCTCGAATTATGCCAAAAATTATGCTAGCATAATCTATAAATGCCTATCTGGGAGACAACGAACCATAACTAAACTGCATCTCCTTTTGTGCAATGTTGAAAACAGAAAAAGTAGCCTGACTTTGACCTTGGTAGTGTTACAAGTCAGAAGCGCAAACTAATGACACATTACTTCAGGAGATTATGTTAGATCGGTCAGTACACAAATACTTCCCGTTTGCGTTGCCTTGAACCCAGTTGTCCAATTTATCTCAGATTGTTACTATGGCGTGGGAGTTGGTTACCGTGGCAGTGTGAACGTCACCCGATCTGGTCGTTCATGTCAGTCTTGGAAATCCCAGTGTCCTCATCGTCATTGGCGGACTCCTAACGATGTCACTGATTCCAAAGATGACTCAAACATGTGTCGTAACCCGGACAGCAGTGCGCCGGATGGACCGTGGTGTTATACTACTGACACAAATGTTCGATGGGAATATTGCAACGTATCTCGATGTCCTCCAAGAGGTAAAGTTAGCCACTGAGAAAAAGAAATGATTGGAAAGATTCAAAATGTACATCCAAGCATAATTTCATAAAAAAATAATGTATGAGTAGAACACATGTGGCTGTAAATTTAACAATCAGACGCAGAAAAAGGTTTGGGTCATAATGACTGTTCTTAGTATTCATTACCTCACCGCGATTACACTTTCATGACAGTTATGAGAATTTACAATTAAAATGCGTTTGTTGTCGTCTTCTTCGTACACTAGAATTACCACCACCACCGAAACGCCTCACGGTAAATAATGTTCAGAGAAGGTATCTTATTTTGACTTGGGATGAGCCAGAAAATGCCAGCTTTCACCAAATAGTAAGCTACACCGTAGAGTGGAGGAGAAAAACAATGGAAAACTTTACAGTATTGAAGACGATTCCGTACCCTGAGACCAAAATGATTATGGAGAACTTGGAACCCTCCACAGAATACACCATCAGATTATCAAGCAACAATATGTATGGAAGATCAGAGGGTGTTCTGGTAACAGAGAAGACACTACCGAGTGAGTAAACCGTCATGGATAGGCTCTTCTTTGAAATAATTTACACCATTGTGAACGAACAGCTGTTTTGGTGCTACCTTAGATCCTAAATACCTTGATTTTATCTAGTGCATAGCCCAGAACTGACCTCGTTGCGTTTCGTGAAACCCGCAACATGGTCATTTACATCAACACATACCCTCGTTAGGCTCTTTGTTTTCAAAATTAGAATTTTGATATAACGTTAGCGCTCAGCTCCATTCTGCGCGTAATTGTTCTGCAGCTTTGAGAGTTTTCTGTTAACTGTTTTGTTTATTTTTAATTTTTTCCAGACAAATTTATCGTGAAATTAATGCTGAAAATAGTGTTGCCACTAAGCTTAGCATCTTTATTAGTTGTGGTCATTTGTGTCAAGTACGGAGCTATTAGAAATTTAAATCGAGGCAGAGTGCACATTGAGGTAATCAGAATTTTATAATTTGTACTTACTTTCTTTCAATCAGCGAAGTTCAAGAAAATAAAGAGTTAATTTTTATGCTTACGTTTCACTTTATCCTGCAGCCGCAGACACCGCTCACCACTCTTTGCAACTGGGTCGAGATTCCCAGAACAGATGTTACACTAAAAGAGAAGCTGGGGGAAGGTGTATATGGGGAAGTGTACAAAGGCTTAGTGCGCGTAGGCGGACAAGTCAGGGCATGTGCAGTAAAGAGAATTAAAGGTAAAATTGGTTAGTGTACTTACTGATTTTTTCACAAATTGATTGGTTAATTTTCTGACTACCTATTGTGGTTGATCTACTTGTTGACTGAATGACCCACCGACTTCCAGATCTGTTGACAGATTGATTGTTTAAAGTGTTTGAAAATGTGTGTGTTTTTAAAGCATTTGTATTTGGATTTTATAGAGAATGCTGGAGAGAAAGACAGGAAGGACTTACTCAACGAGCTTCAAATCATGGTTACAGTTGGTGAACATCCTAATATCATAAGTCTCATTGGAGCTTGCACAAAGACTGGTAGTTATTTGCTGAACGAATGATAATAATAAAAGTCTTACTTAAGAACTCTAAACAACAAACGTGTTTAGTCTTAATGATATGAACTTAAACAAATATAAAACTAATTAACTAACTAAATAACTGACTAACTAACAAGAGAGCAAACATCTATTAGCAAAAGTCCTCTTGAAACATTCAGTTCTGACAAGCGGGAGAATATAGTTATGGCGCCTCTTACGTAGCGTAGCTGTTGGTCGCTGTGGTGACAAAAGGTCATCTAAAACTGTTGTAAAATCGCTGTCGGTGATCTTGGCCCATAACTTCTTATCCTTTAGAGTAATAATATTTTCAATCGCAAAAAGCTCTTTACAGTAACCAAGCTTAAAAGCTCTCTTGAGCAGCCTGTCTATGCGACTCAGATACTTCTGATAATACGCGCAGCCCCATACCTCTACAGGATATGTAAATATAGGTAGAATAAGACTGATAAAAAGAAGATGAAGATGATCCGACGGCAATCCATAGAATTTACAAACACGTAAGATGTACAGACGACTACTTGCTTTCGATTTGCTATTATTAAAATGTAAGTCCCAGTTACACGGATCAAATTGGAAAGTTACACCCAACAACTTTAGACATGGTTTATGCTCTATAGAAGCCAGAGGAGCAGGTAAAGCCTTCGTGTATTTGCCTTTAAGAAGCATCTCCCACGTTTTCTTGAAGTTTAGTTGCATACGGTTAGCATTTATGCATCCATGCCATGATATTCATCCATGCCATGATAGATCGGAACTTTGATGATTTTGTAATCTTGAACATGAACAGTCCCACGCCCTTTTGTCTTTTTACCTATCAAAAGGTTCTATGTAACTCGCTTTCCTTACTGTATGGTTCTGTAACGATTCACCTCTTCTGAAATACCTAGATTCGATATTGGTTATTGTTCGCCTGGCTCCGAATGGCTGCTTGTTGGACCAACTAAAGAAGAACAGAGGAAATCCATACGAAAATGAAATGGAAATGCAAGTCGGATTCACGCGTGTGGACAAAGTAAAGATCGCAAGAGACGTGGCCTGTGGAATGTTTCATCTCGCCAGCAAAAAGGTAATTATGCAAAAGGCTGTAAAAAAATAATGCAATCAATTATACATTCTCTTACTCTGAATGGGCTGACTTACTTATAAATGCTATCATTTCATTATCATTCTGAATTTATTTCTCAGTGTGTTCATCGCGACCTTGCGGCAAGAAATGTGCTTCTTGGCGAGAGGAATGTTGCTATGGTTTCCGACTTTGGCATGTCACGTGATGTGTACGAAAGTGGTGAATATGAGACTCTTTGCAAGGTATGGCTACTTCGCTCGTTGTTGAGAAAACGGGGAGGGAGGGGTTTTAAAACTTGAAAAAAGTGTGCATAGCGTTTAGCGCTCTATGATTTTTTTTTATTGTATTTAGTTATGAAGAAGTTTCACTTTATTGACAGTGTTTTATCCTTCCCCTTCTACATGATATAACTTTTTTTCAGTGAATGTCGACATAAACGGCAATTATGAGTGTATATTGTATGGTTTTATCAATTGAAGAGTTAGTCAGCGTTCCTATCATATACTAATTTCACTAAAATCGCGCCAATTCCTCTTCCGAACAGGAAATGTTACCAGTTCGTTGGATGGCTCTTGAGTCATTGGAGGATTTTGTGTTTACTACAAAGACAGACGTGTAAGTTATTCCTAAAAGAAATCGCAGGCAGACTAGTGCATTTTGTTATCAATGGACACAACTAACACTAAAATTAATCGTATTGTGTGAACCATAGGCAAGTTAAATTTGAATAGCTTTCAAATCATCACAAGCGACCGTTACTCGCGAAATGTCTTGTTTATCATTATTATTTTCAGTGATATCTCCTTCATATATTGCCCTATAGATCCTCGGAGCTCATAATTCATTTAGATGAGACCCACCTGGACGATTTGAAAATGCTAATACATTTTCTTCCAATTGGTCTTTTGAAATAATAAAACCAGGCTCAAAGTTCTCACGGCATTTAGCGATCAGTATCTGTGATTTCTAAAGAGTGGAACAAGGAATCGTAGAGTGCGCTCTATAGCTTCTGAAGCTATGGCCTGTTTATGCTTTCGTGGTTGACCAGTTACGACCGAGAAACTGTCACCTTAAACTGAAAAAAAGGAAAATATACTGCAAACTAGTCTAAGGGCCTGTTTACGTGGAGGTGGAGGACCCCAGGTAGGCGAGGCAACTCGCCCAGGTGGGGTTACCCGCCTCTCCATATAATCTCTCATTTTTATTTGGTCATGTCTACATGATAGGTGGGGTAACCCGCTTAGGCGGGTTGCCCGATCTGCCAGGTAGGGTAACCCTTTCAGCCGGGGTCGGATTTTGCCATGTAAATGACTCAAGGTGGGGTAACCCGCCTAGCCGGGGTCGAGTTTATGTTACATTTGCAAACGCGCCAAAGCGAGCCAAATTTGAACCAGAACAATATGGCCGCCCGCGCTCACAAATCCGGCCAGCTTTTTCGCCGGCTTTATCTGCGTAACGTGCAACAGAGCAAAGAAAATCGAGCATATTCTGGGATTGCGAATGAAAGAAGACCCGATGGAATCCCACACATCCACTGTCAACAACGTTACTTTGCCTAGTCGGCTGTCGATAGCACAAGAAGCGCAAGGCAGCAAACGCAACAACGTCTAGTAACGTCACCCCGGGACCCCGGCGTTGTAAGTTTGCATGTAAACGCGGGCCATTTTCCGACCACGGCTGGGCGGGTAATTACCTCACCGTCTTACTGGGGTCCCGCCCCACCTCCATGTAAACAGGCCCTAATCATCACCATTACCTTGAGAAACTTTAACGAACAAGGTGAAGAATTATTTTTGGAGTTCTCGTCTTTTTCCATTTTGAAATTTTCTTTATCAAGTGAGAAAACTAAATTTCAGACGATGACCAATTCTTTTTTGTCGACAGGTGGTCGTTTGGAGTTCTATTATGGGAGATCGAATCTGGAGGTAAAGTTGTAACTTGAATCAAATGACTAAGGGATTCATCCTTGCCCCCAGTGCTTCCTCAATCGTAGGGCATAGTATCGTGATGTTTGAGATGAAAAAGTTTATCGTGCACTAACGAATACAGTTTGTAATTTTTTTTTCAAGGTAAAATGCCATATACCGGTCTTTTAGCCAAGGGAATTATCGAATATTTGAAGAAGAGAAAAATATTATCAAGGCCAGAAGGATGCCCGAATGAAATGCAAGTAGCCATTGATAGAATGAAATTATTTCTGTCATAATGGTTTCGCTCCGAGAGCTGGGTGACTAGACTTTTTCTTTCCTTTTTTTGTCTTCCTAGTTATGATTTAATGAAATCTTGCTGGAAACTGGATCCGGGGAAACGTCCTTCATTTGCAGATGTTTTGGCTTGCCTTGAGAAAGAACTTACTAAAAACAGAGAGGTATGATCAGTAGAGCAAAATGCCGTTCATTGAGTATTCGTATCGTATCGTATCGTATTCGCGATATCTAGACAGGCTGGCCCAGTACAGCTAGAAGCTGGTTTAAATGGGGGCCTGTATATCCCACCCATCCCACCCCAGGGGAGGACATTCACCACACAGTAAACTCGTGCGAAGGAAATTAACGTCTCCAACTCCTAACCCTGCAGGAGAAGGGCCTACGGTTTATTCGTCCTTATCCGAGAAGACTACAATATCTATCCATTTCTTGATATTATAGAAAAGCAGCAGATTCTCCTCAGTTATTTTAAGACCCTGAGTATTGGTCCGGCCGCGGGTCGAACCCTCGACCTCCTGCACAACACAATCCGGCGGTCTAACCAATTGAGCTAACCAGGAGGCGGGTAAAAAGAAATAAATGAGCAACTTTCTCTCTACGTTAATCTAACGCATAGGCTTAACTTATTACAGCTTGTTTGAAACTTTCTTTTTTTTACTTTTAGGATCACTGCATAAAATGTTCTGTATAAGGAATTTTCCTTGGTGCGTATACAGTCAGTATACATAACTGTATACGGTAGATGTAAGGAGGTGTAAGGTCCGTATAATGATCAATACACGTCAGGGTATGCTAAGAAAATACCACAACCGTATACACAAGTGGTATGATTCATTATAACTCAGTATTCATGCCATTATACATCATGAATACTGTGTGTGACATGTGATATACTGGTATGTGTACTTGGCAGATATACGAGTTCATATATTTCATGTTGAATTCCTTATAGCTTAGGGTACAAAGCAGCATAATTATGTACACTGTGAAATTAAGAGTTGATTTGGCCCCAAAAAATGGGGTCGAAATGACTGAGTCTAGTTTGGTACTGGCTTGGGGTCAATTCGGCCCTATTGAGATGGGCCGGGCTGTTTTTGGCACTAATTTTTGGTGCTTAATTGACTCAATTGTAAGGGCCAAATTGGACAATGTGAAGGGCAAATTTGAAAAATACTGGGCCACATTGGAATTTAAGGGACCAAAACGGCGCCCAAAATTTCAGGTCTCTCACAAATGGCCCCTTTAAAAATAGCCAATTCAGCTCCAATATGAGTCCAGTTCAGAAGTAGAGGGCTCTTTCCTCTGCACACTGATTTCCCTCCCGTTCAGTCATATAATGAAACTACACTGCATACTTCATCTTTCAAGCACTAACTTATTTAGTTCTAGGTATTGTTACTGTTAGAACATTTTACAGACCATGATTTTAAAGTTAAGAAGAATCTTAATAGATTATGGTATAAATAGACAAACATCATTTGAAAGAATAAGACAATAAATATATACATTTCTAATATTAATGCAACCATTTTCTAAAATATATCTCTTCACTTAATCACTATCAGGGCTTGACACTAACATTAACCAACTAGCCACAGACTAGTAGAAATTCAGTACTTGCTAATGGTTTTCGATTTCCACTAGCCAGTTTGGCTAGTAAACAAACTGAAATTGTCATGGCATGTAAGATGTCACCTGCGCCACTTGGCCAGTAAGTTGAAAAGTTAAGTGTCGAGCCCTGAATACACTTCTCAAAATTGCAAGCATGGCTGAAAATTACATGCGAAAGACACTTGTAAGTAAAGCTTCCCTTTTCAATGACTTAGCAAGTGGGATAACGTGATAATTTGAATATATCAACAAAGTTGAAATGGTAAATTGGCCACCGTAACGATTATAAAAGCTGAGGTTTGGAGTGTTAGCCCGTCGCTCCGACGAAGGGCTAACGCTCGAAACGTCAGCCTTTGTAATCGTT